GAAGGCCTTCCTGAAGTCTAAGTAAATGATATCTACCCCTACTCCTGCGTCCAGGTGTTTTCTCACCTGGTCATAAAAAGAAACTAGATTATTCAGGCATAATCTACCTATTATGAACCCATGCTGGTTTCCCCTCAGCATAATTTTTCCTGCTGGGCTTTCACATATATGAGCCTTAATAATTTTTTCAAAGATTTTACCAAGGATGGAGGTGAGACTGACTGGCCTGTAGTTGCTTGGATCCTCCATCCTCCCCTTCTTGAAAATAGGGACCACATTGGTCCTTTTCCAGTCCTCTGGGACCTGGCCCATGTGCCACAAGTGCTCAAATATTCTTGCCAGTGGATGTGCAATGTCATCAGCCAGTGCTTTCAGTACCCTCAGATGGAGCTCATCCGGGCCTGCTGACTTAAATGCATCCAGTCCTTCCAGGTGACTATGCAACATCTCAGGGTCAATGGTCAACGCTTGGTGGTCTGGCACCCTGCTGTTGTCTGTCATTGTGAAACTTTTCTTGCCACTCGTTTAGGATCAGTGAGGCAAAGAACTCATTGAGGAGTTCAGCCTTGTCCCCCCCTGTCTGTCACCAATTGCTTTTGCCCATTCAGTAGTGGTTCTATACCGCCCTGGGCCTTCCTTTTACTCCCTATATATCTGAAAAACAATTTTTTGTTATCCTTAACTTGGGATGCCATCCTCAGCTCTATGGTAGCTTTGGCCTTTCTAACTGCCTCCCTACAACTGCAAGCTGAGGAAGCATACTCCTCTTTAGTAATTTTTCCCTGTTTCCACTGCTTATATACCCCCATTTTTGCCCTTAGGCTGCTCTGGATTTCTCTGGTTAGCCAGGAAAGCCTCTTGGCCCCTTTTCCCCCACATTGGGATCATCTCCCTCTGTGCCTGAAGGATTGCTTCCTTAAGGCACAGCCACCCTTCCTGGGCTGTCATCTCACCAAATCTCTTACCCTGCAGTGCGTCATTGACTAAACGCCTGAGCTCACTGAAGTCAGCCTTCCTAAAGTCTAGCACTTCCACCCTACTAGTTACCTTTCCTACTACACCTTATGGTGAATTCTATTATTTGGTGGTCACTGTCCCCCAGGTGACCACTGATCTGTAGGTCCCCTACCATGTCATCCCCCACTGCCAGTACCAGGTCCAGTAAGGCATCCCCCCTAGTGGGACCATGTACCTCCTGCATCAGGTGGAGGTCCTGCACACAGGATAGGAACCTGTGTGAGTGGTGGGAATTTGCTGTCTGTCTCTCACAGCAGATGTCAGGGTAGTTTACATCCCCCATGACTACCACTACCCTAGTCTTTATGGTCTCCGAGAACTGCCTCAGGAGTTCCAAATCTAGTTCTTCCCCTTGGTGTGGGGGTCTGTAGCAGACCCCTACCACTAAATCCCTTTTCTCTTGACCTCCATGTATCCTAACCCGCAATCCTTCTACTTCCTCCTTCTCCAATTCCATTTTGATAAGAGTCAATGTATAATGATCCTTGACATAGAGCGCAACCCCTCCCCCTCTCCTCCCTACTCTATCCTTTCTGTACAGCTTATAGCCCTCAATATGTACCGCCAGGTTTCTGTTAACCCCACTAAGCCATAAGTGTTTTCTGCAAGCAGGAGTGCTAGTTCATCCTGCTTGTTCCCCATGCTCCTAGCATTAGTGTATAGGCACTTGAGCCTTGTGACTGTCACCCCCTGGCTCTGATGCCCAATGGGCTTCTTCTTGCTTACGGCTTACCTGTGCTATACTGCTGGACGTCCCATGGATTGCAGGTTCCTGATGTTCTCCTTCTTCTGCCTCCATGTCCCTTGTCTGAGCTAGTTTAAAGCCCGATGTAGGACATCAGCCAACCTGTTGGAGAAAAGACTTTTACCTTTCACTGAGTGGTGAAGTCCATCGTGTCCCAGGAAATCTCTTGCCAGGAAATGTGGGTCATGGTCCAGGAAGCCAAATCCTTCATGATGGCACCAACTCCTGAGCCACAGGTTGACCTCTGATGCAGGCGCTGGGATGCCTACTGGAAGCTCTGACTGGGAGGATGGACGAGAAGACCACCTGTGCCCCCGTCTCCCTAAGCCTGGCCCCCAGAGCCCTGTAGTCACCCATGACGTGGTCAGGACTACTCCCGGCTACATCGCTGGCTCCCACGTGGATGAGGACCATGGGATAGTAGTCCAAGGGCCAGATCAGGTCAGGAATCCTTGTCGTGACATCCTGGATCTTGGCCCCTGGCAGGCAACACACCTCACGCACCATGGGATCTGGGCAGCAGATATTCCTCTCTGCTCCTCTCAGTAGGGAGTTGCCCACTATGAGGCATCCCATCCCATCTGAGCATTGCATAGCCCCCACTCTGAGCATCTCCTCTTCCTCCGGTAGCTTGTCTGGCCCTCAGCTTGCTTGGGAATGGATGGGAGCTCCTCCCATGCCATCTCCTCTACCGCACTTTCCTCCAGTGCAGCCAGGGCTTCATGTGTGTTCCCCAACTGCACCAGTGGATCCATTTCTGTGGCAAGCGGCCTGGCCCTGCAGGTGACTGTCATCCATTCTTCCATATCAGCTTCAGGGCTTCTGCAGTCCAGTCCTCTGCCTGGTGTCTGGCTCTGCAGAGAAAGGAAGTGTTGTCACGCAATGTATGCTGGTGTTTGCTCCCTGTTTGCTGCCTTAGCAATTTGATCCATGAACAATTGGATTATCGTCTCCCTACTCGTTGGGCACTGCATGGAGTTGGGGTCTAACAAGTACCATGTGGCGCCATGCCGAGCTGGGCTGTCCCTGCATGATGCAGCAGCAGCAGGAGCAGCAACATGGGTGCTAGACGGCTGGGGCCAAGCCCTGCTGCCCCATGCTGCACAGTGGGGCTCTGCCATGAGGCTCCAAGTGCCCTGATCAACACTGATGCTGCCAGTGAGTGTGGGCTGTGCAGGCAGGGGCCAGTGGGGGTTTGTAGCCCCTGTGGATGAGCTCTGGACCTTGCAGGGAGGGCAGTAGATCCTGTGGGCAGGGGCTCTGGGTCCTACACAGGGGCTGGAACCCTGCAGCAGGGGGCAGTCCATGTGCTCGGGGGGGGGGGCTGTGCCCTGTGGGGGGCAGGGGACCGACCCCTCCTAACCAGCCCCCCCACCACAATTCCCCCACACCTACCCACACACTGACTCATATGGGGGTGGGGGGGTTTATATATAATGATGAAAGATGAAAAAGAGGGATAGTGTCAAGATATTTAAAAAACAAGCATATGTTTGGCAGCCTATATTTCCTTGAAAGTTATTTACTGTTATTTACAGGCATGTGCGAAGTGGCAAGTATTAGCTTTGGATTCAGATTCAGCCAATTTGGGGGAAAGTGATATGAGTCAGCGATTCAAATCACTGTCCTGATTCAATTTGGCTGAATCAGATCTGAAAGATTTGGTTCTGCTTTGGAGATTTGCCCATAGACTAAACAGGCAACTGACACAGCTGTCTGTAGCTGGTAAGTCTGCTGGGATTGAGGGAGGGGGGTGAGAAGGAGTGTGGGGGTGGG